TCAACATTCTCGAACGGCGTAAATTTTCGAATTCAGAATCGCATCCCCGAGATTGAGCCATTCTTCAAAACATTACCGCGGGAATGTATTTATTCGCGTTCGTTAGCAGCAGCACTTTTTCTTCGTCGAACTTTTTACGAGAATTTCGTTATTAAAACGAAGACAACGGTTGCAGGATAATTCTTTTGATCCGGGAACCCCGGTAGGAAAGAAGAACGGAAAGGAGCGCTCCTAATTGATGTTCAGACTTTGTAACCTGCTTAATTACTTTTTAATTAGGCATTCGTTTGGGCGACTCGAGTCAATTTACATCGGGGAAACGTAATATTGTTACTTCCCGTCGCGGGAAAAGCGTTTCTCATCGTTGCGCCTTCACGACTCCTAAATTATTAAACAATTTCAGGTTCGTGGAAGTTTGTAGAAGTTTATTTATCGTCTCGATCGTCTTCGAGGAAGGTGGAAAAGGTTGGGCGGGCCTGTGTCTCGCGGGACGCCTCGTACAAGTCGAGTATCGGTCGCGAAATGGCCGGAGGAGCTCTTCCCTTTCAGACGTTTCGCGAATCGGTCGATGAATTTTCAACGACATCAGCGTAAAAAACGCCGCCGCCATTGTCTGGAAACCAGGTCGACCCCGTTCCGCTGACCGAGGAGGGACGAAACAATCGGGCTGGATTTTGAATTTGCTCGGCGAGTCGCGCGCGTACGATCGAACGTGTTCGACGAGAAAAGCTTGTTCCGCGCGAACGGGAAAAGCGCTTTCGCGCGATTTTCAGAGAGCCCCGGGGCACTTCCCGCTCCCTTTGAAGCATCAAACCGGCGGTTATTAAAGAAACCGAACATCGCAATATCGATGGAGAACAAAGGAATTAAATTCCAAACGCGACAAACGCAATAATACGTTTTTACAACCGACAACAGATCCTAGTATTTCCGTTCGTGCAGCGCGTCAACTCTGAAATAACACACCCAACATATTACTGGAATTTAATTTAATCCTATCGATGAATATTTATTTGCTAAATAAATATAATGGTCTCTGCTGGTCGCTTCAGGCTTTGCTAGCTTCTGTTGACCTTTGCTGGCCTTTCCTGGTATGTGCTAGCCCCTGTTAAACTCCGCTGACCACTACTGACCAAACTGGAGAACTCCTGACAACTTCTGACACCATATAGCGACTGTTTCTGGCTACTGCTGATTATTGCTGGCTCCTGCTTGCTTCTGCCAGCTTCTGCTGGTCTCTGCTTGCCTCTTCATACCTCTGCTGGCCTCTGCTGACTGCTGCTGACCACTCCTGATACTTCTAACAACGTACAACGATTACTACTGACTTCTGCCTGCCTCTGCTGTCCTCTGCTAACCGCTGCTGACCACTCCTGTTACTTCTGACAACGTATAACGATTACAACTTGCTATTGCCTGCCCCTGCTGGTCTCTGCTTGCTACTACTTGTCAATGGTGGTCTCCGCTGGACTCTGCTGGCCACTGCTAACCTTTATTACAATTTTTGACATTATATATATGTATCAAAGCTTTGTATAATGTAAATCTATGGCAATAAATGATATAATTTCAAAGAATTCTATGTGTTCTCATCATTTCTACCTTTCTTTTCCTCATCAAATCATTCCCATAGTTATAAGGTACGCGTCACTTCTTCCCATATCATGTCCCCCTGATAAAAAAGTCTGAAACGGGTCTAAAACCGTCAACGCCATACCTGCGGCCGATCAGCGATACTTATTCATTCATTCAGTAAACGTCAGCTCCCGTGCTGGCTACCACAGGGCTCGCACCTGTCTTTCTCGCAAGCGCTCGATCGAGCCTCCGTTCACCGTATGCTTATGCTTATTCTCAACACCTACTATCAATATTCGTCGATCAAGGATTTACGGGCGGCCTCCGGGCAAATTATTTCCAATAATCTTTATAATTTGAAAATAAGGAACGGTCAAGCAACGTTGCGTTTCGCGAGAGTTAATATACCCGTTGAAAATTTTCACGGAGTGGGAAAAGAAACGAGGGTGACTCGTTAGAGCGCGATCCGTGTAATTTCTCTTGCGAAACAATGCGAGATTACGGTAACGTCGCCGGAACAAGCGCACGAGGGGAGGACCAGCGCAATATTTCTCGACGCGTTACGGCCGCCCGGAAACCCCCGTCCCTTTTACGGTTTCTCTTTCATCCGCGGGAAACTTCCGATGGAAAAGGACGCTCGTTCCATCCGGCGGAACACCTTGCCGCGTATCCTTTCCCCCATCCGCCCGGACGGAATGAAATTTCCAACGCTCGACGACATACTTCTAAAGATCTACGCGCGCAAACATTCCTTCGACTCTTTTCTCTCGCGTTGTCACGTTCCGTAAACGGACTGTGACAAGCCTCGAGGGAGGAGAAAAAAAGACCGTTTCGCATCCGAACGAATACAATTTAACAGCCTTGGTCGCGAGGAGGGACCACGATCTCGTGTCGAGGCCATTATGCTCGCTTGGAAACAACAAACAACGCGTTCAAACTTTTACCGACGTCTCCAGCCTTCGAAGCGAACAAAAGTCTTTCATGCGACTAAATAGATTCGTTTATAATACCTCGAACTACTTCGACCGTGTTTTACCACGTTTGGCCCTCGAATCTCCACGTCTCGGTGTGTACCTTGTTTAAAATACCTGGAATTACATGTTTCCATCACGTTTGATCCTCGAATCTCGGCGTCTCCGAGTGTACGTTTCAGGAGACGATATTTATGATTTTTCCGGGGGCGAAAGAGCGTAGGGAATCGTTGGTGGATCGGTGGATTTTTACGACTTCAGAGGAGGACACGGTCGTTCGATACCGCGGCCTCCTTTTTCCTCGTTTACAACATGAAGCACGTTTTTAATCACCGGCGACGCCCATTGTTGAATTCTGCCATGTTTTATGGGCCCCTTTGTTCCCTTTCATCGGTGTTCCGGTTTTTCGCTGGCCGACCGTCAAAAGGGGATCGCGAGCGTGATTATTTTTTTGTGGTAGACGCGAATTCCCTGCGTATAATCGCATATTGAACGAAATGGTAATATACCGTGCCCGACCGTTTGTCCATTAAAGAGCAACGGGCTGGGGAAAAATGATATTGTCAACGTTTCCACGTCGCCTTTGAGTTATGCTGGGCACGATTCGTTGGAAAGGAATTTCATTTCCTATAACCGTGTAACGGGCGCATACGGGAATTTCAGCTCGTCCAACTTCGATCTTGCAAATTCGATGGAGACGTCGTCCACGAGGCCGCGTTTTCGTCGGCGAGATCGAAGAACGCGGAACGGGAACGTAAAATAAAGAATGCAAAAGGCAACGCGATGGATCTCGATCGTTCGATAATCTGTCGAAACCGATTACGACGGTCCTGGCGGTACGAGAATATTTTTAATTCACGAGACAGAGGTTTAGATTATTATTTCAAGCCGATCTCGCAGTTCCAATCATTGGCAGGCAATTAAATTAGAGAACCACCGACGAAGAGTAATCGGTTCGCGAGGTGTAAGACGATTAATAGAGGTCAGGTTTCTCGTAACAGGATCGTAACTGCACCTTGCCTCTGTCGCGCTCGTGCACTTCCCGTTTCGCTAATTTCGTTGCCACGTGTTTGCGCTCCCATTAGCAGCGTAATGAAGACGTTAATAAAATAATGGAAAAAATTGCGAGTGTTCGTTCGGCGAAATAGGAAGTCGCTGAAAGGTGATTGATCGTTTGATACAGAACGCGTATTACCGTTCCTTACTTTCCACTGCATCGCGAAAGTAATAACCGAGCAATTTTTCAAGGTGATCGTTACCCCCCCGTGGCCCATTTATGATTCTTTCAACCAGACGGAATGAGTTTGCATTTTACGTTACCGGTTCAAGGGATAAATTATCGACTCGCAAAGAAAAGTTTCAGAATCGAAACGAGCAGAAATTTAATCGCAGATAAAAACGTTCTTTCGATCGTTTCCAAGAAACATTACAATTTTCGAAACATTTTTCAATGCAGCTGGGAGGGTTCAGGAATTCGAAATTGATTCCAGCTCGCCGACACAATATTACACTGTGACGTTGCAAATTTTTATTGCTCGAGAGAGCAACTGTACGCAATAAAGGGGCAAAGAATTGTTATAACAATTCTGAGAGTCCGCTGGATCTTGCGCGTTCGTTAAAAAGAAAGAAAAGGTGGCTCGTAAGCTTGCAAAAGCCAACGCGCAGAACGGTATGGAACTTCCCTCTAATTGACGGGACTGACTCGCTTAAAGTGCTGTTCAAAGGCTCGTAGTCGATTCCGTATGCACCCCCGCGCGAAGGGGCCGAAGTTGTTAACATACGTCGGGCCTCGAAACAGAAACAACAGGAAAACCGACGACAAGTGAGTCGATAAAGGGAGCGGACGCTGGTTAAAGCCAGGCGTCGTCTTTTTACGATGGAAACAAAACTCGTCGTCAAACGGTTTTAATCCGAGTTGAGAACGTCTCTGTCCAGCCGCGCGAATATTTATTCGCAATTACTGTAATTTCTACTTTGATAGTAAAATTGGTTTCCTCGTTTATTAACCGCTCGTAGAACGGGGCGCAGCGGGCCAAAACAATAATGGAAATTATTCTCATATTAACGCGCAGGGGGGTGAAATTTTAAAAGTTCAAACAAATCTTCCTTTGTTCCACATTTAACGCTAGAACTACCAAACCAGTCAAAATGACCCATTCGTAATTTCTAATAAAACCTGTAAAAAATCTACTCGACCGAATTTTTGGAAATTTACTGTAATTTTCTATAAGAGAATGAATAAACGCTTATTTCCATTGCGTTGTACATTTCTTCATCTATCGTTTAAATTTCCTTGGTACAAATAAACACACTGTAATTGTCTGTAGTTCTGGTGTTAAGAGAGAATAGAATTTAGACACGAAACTGAAGCTTAAGTTGTATCGTACTGCTGTTGTTTGTTTTCAGAAATATTTTCGACGCGTGCTTTAGGTGTTGGTTATTTTTCTGTTGCAGGCTCGACCAGCCGGTGACCAGCTCGACGTCCGGAATGGACAGCAAAAAGGTTCGAATTGAATTTACTTGCTCGAATTCGTATAGTTTTGCCGTCGTATACGGCGCTCGACGAGTTTCGAGAAACTCGCGGCTGATAGCGAAGATCCTTGGGACGTTGAACAATGTTCCAGGGGGATGCATAGTTCCGCGGAAGTTCGAGAATCGATACGCGTCATACGAGTTTATAGCAGTTGTAAAGGCTTCCAGTGGCCCGATACGAGACTCCGTCGGGGTTAACGGTGTCGTTCGAAGTTAACGCGGTTAAATCGACGCGATAAGAGGTACGGAACCGACGCAGAAATCCCATCGAATTAACAGAGTCCTTCGAACGCATTTTCTTACGCATCGGTGAACTAATTTATACCTAAAGAAAACGTACGAGGGACTTGTTTTTCTTCGAGTTTGAAGTGTCGGTCACTTTCTTTCTTTTCGTTTCATTTAAATTCCACTTCGAATGCACAGCACGTGATATCTTTTTGCATATTCAAAGTATCGACCGACCGCGGCAGCGTTTCTCAAACTAATAGCGAGGTTTCACGAGCTCTGTACTATCTAAGGAAATTACCGAATTTCTACGAAGTTAGAAAACTAGATACTGTTAGAAATTTTATGCCGAGAACCAACGTTCTGACGTTTGAGAAAACGTGGTGAAGCAGGTCTACGACGTCTCCGCGGTTTCCCTGCGACCTATCTCTCGAAACCGGAAGTAAACAAAGGCTCGTTCCCAACTCGAGACGTCTCGCGGCCCCGAAAAGTCGACGGAAAGGCAGATTCGCTTAAGTAATTCGTTAAATTAGGAAGTCGGTGACGCGATTCCGGACAAGGACCAGTTCGAGAACTTCGAGGGCTCGAAAAACTTGGGCCGGCGGATCCCCGGAAAGCAGCGAAAAGAAAATTGACGGTGAAAATGCATTGGTTCCGAAACTTCTCCAGTATTTCCCTCTTCTCTCGCCATCCGTGTAAATTAGGATCCACGTTGACGATTCAATTTTCTATACAGTTAGAATAGTTATAACAATTAAATAAACACGAATTGACCATCGATTCGGGTCAACGAGGCATAATGAAATATCATTTAGTAGAAACTCAATATCGAAAACCGATACCATTGTAACCTTAAACATTAACGCGTTGATCGCTGCACCAGTGCTCCGTACAGCGATTTTACAGCGTAGTAATTATGTCGCATAATTATTATATTTACTCGATTAAATCGTTCGAATTTTAATTTATTAACGACAATGCATTGGTATCTGATTTCGAATCGACTCGTCGAGCGTTTTACGGCCAGAGAGAACGAGAAAAATTAATTTTTTTCGACTCAGCGAAACGGTCCATCGAGGTCGCAAAATTATTGACGATTAAATCAATTTCCGTGGATCTCGACGAGATTTTCCAACCGAATGGATCAGCTCGAGCCCCGGTCGAACGTCGTCTTAATTGAGCAAAACGAGGAGGGAATCACTGGACGGGGCTTTCGCGAGTTTCTCGAACCCCGGACCTGATGGACTGATCGCGAAAAAGCTCACGGAAAACTCGTGTTTTCCCGGGGAAATCGGTTTCAACGGGACGCGTAACTCGCGAGAAGCCGATTACACCGATGTGCCAGCTCGTGTCTCGCTTCGATTCGTTAGCTTGACCAACGTTTCACCTGGAAAATCGAGGGGAAAACCGAAATTGCCGATGATGTCTGTCGTTCGGTGACCTTTGTACTCCTAAATTCACCAATCAGTCGCCTCGACTCGACTTTGGCTGAGATGCGTTTCAATTTTTGAAATAGTTGCAAATATAAGTGTTACGAAAAATGAAAATATATCAGATTTATAAGTATTTGTAAAACTTTTCTCGAGGAAAATGTAAGAAGGTTTAACAGAGGTTTAATTTAGAGTCGATCTGAACCAGATAGAAATTTATGAAACGAGACACGATTATCGCCAAAATAAGAGGACCAAAGACAGGAGTCTTCTGCGTGTATTGCACCCCAAAGGAGGAAGTTTTGGTAGACCAGGGGTTGTAAATAGTATTCGCCTAGTCGAACAGAGTAGTTTGGGGAGACACAGTTTTGGCGAGAGGATGTTTCATAGAGCAGGAGATTCGGATACGGGATGGTACGGAGTTTGATAGTTACACGAGACGAGAAGTTTCACAAAAGCAACAGCGAGTATTTTCAAAGATGATTAAGCTGGATTACGGGGGAGTGCGGTTTGCTTAAACGCGAGAGAAAGTGACAGATCGCGAAAGTGTGGAGGAATTGGAGCGCGGTTTGCGGGGTTCTGATTTCCAAGGGAAATATATGTAATTTTATTATATTTTCGCGAAGGTGAACGTGCACGTAAGAAAAATATATGTAAACCCGAACACGGGACCTGCAATCTTTTAGAATGCGAAAATAAACATTGTGCCCCCGAAGACGCGATCAAATATTTGCGCAATGCTACTGCGCTACTTTGTCGTTTATTATCGTTGTTGACGCATTCTTTCTTTTCGTGGCACAAAACTGAAATAATACAATAGAAAATATAAGGGAAACACGAATGAAAACATCGCCGATCGATACGGGGTAATTTTGTTGTTTGCGCCGTGGCGCGTTGCGTGGTTGCAAACATTCCCAGCAAATATAATTACCCTAACTGTATGCAATCTGAAACGACGTCGATACTAAATATTCGACTAATAAAGCAAAAACAAATTTTAAAGAAAAATCGACACGGGGTAGGTGCAGAAATTTCTCGCCGAAAAAAAAATTTTCAAATCGTAAAAAAATTATTCTTAGTTGTAGGGGTCAATTACGATCATTTTTGGTGAATACACATACCACCGAAATCCTACCCACTTTCGAGAAAAAAATTCGTAGGTGCAGAAATTTTTCGCTGAAAAAAAAATGTTCAAATCGTTCTAAAAAAATTATTCTTAGTTGTAGGGGTAAATTACGATCATTTTTGGTGAATACACATACCCCCGAAATCCTACCCACTTTCGAGAAAAAAATTCGTAGGTGGAGAAATTTTTCGCTGAAAAAAAAATTTTCAAATCGTTGTAAAAAAAATATTCCTAGTTGTAGGGGGCAATTACAATCATTTTTTGTGAATACACATACCCCCGAAATCCTACCCATTTTTGAGAAAAAAATTCGTAGGTGCAAATATTTTTCGCCGAAAAAAAAATTTTCAAATCGTTTTAAAAAAATTATTCCTAGTTGTAGGGGTCAATTACAATCATTTTTGGTGAATACAAATACCCCCGAATTCCTACCCACTTTCGAGAAAAAAATTCGTAGGTGCAGAAATTTTTCGCTGAAAAAAAAATTTTCAAATCGTACTAAAAAAATTATTCTTAGTTGTAGGGGTAAATTACGATCATTTTTGGTGAATACACATACCCCCGAAATCCTACTCACTTTCGAGAAAAAAATTCCTTACCGAAAATCTAATGTCTGACCATACATTGATATGTTTCCCTGAAAATCTTTAAAACATCATAACTTCTTAACGGATTGGACGATTTTAAGGTTTCAAAATGCAAACTACGCGTATTTTAGTGAGGAATATTTAGAAATTCTAAGAGTTTTCGAAAAGTTGCTTCTTAACTCTGTAAACTGATAAAACTCCTATAAAAATGGTTCAATTCCTCGTTTTTGTTACTTCATAGGTAAGTATAGTCCAACTATCCGGCATATTTGATTATCCTGCATTGTCCCAGTCCCAATTATGCCGGATAATGGAAATTGTGCTGTATAAAATCAAAATAATAGTCCTCCTCGACTCTCAAATTAACAAGCTTTCGCTGTATTTAATGAAGTATGGTTTGGAAGCCTTTAAAAACGAACGATAGTAAATTTGTTTAGCCTCCAAAAGTTTAATAAAACTACCAGGGAACTGTTCTCGCGCGGAAAATTGAGACAAGGAAACTTGTTCCCGAAAAGAATCTAATAATAAGAATGTTGGGCTCCGCGGTAGTCCGGAAAGTAATATCGCGAAAATGATCCTTCCACGTTCACGTCGGACATGGCTACGGAATTGATATTAATTCACGTTAATTCTCGCGTTAACGGACCGGACAAGTTAATTACGTATTGCTGGTAGGATCGTACAGCTTTCGAAATTAAAGGACGTTTCGTCGAACGCGGACGAATTCTGCGCTTTCGTCGCGATTATCGTTCAACGTTTCTGGAACGTCGCGATCCCCCGGAGACGTTCTTTTTCCTCTTCTCTTCGACGAACGTGAGATTCTGCGGGGAGTCGATAAATTTTTTATCGTACGCCCGGAATTTTCGCGGTAACTTGGCCGGACGGAAACCGGAGAGCGAATCTCTATCGCCCGTCGAGAAATCTATCGCTCGAAAGGCAACACGACACTGCACTTCGTGTCTCGCGCTTTATCGAAAACGTCTCCCGTCTATCGTTTCGCGTAATTTTTCGCCAGATTAATTATCCGCCAAAACGCGAAGTTTGCAGGACGCGACGTCGTTTGTAATTTAATCCGGAGTACAATAGAAATATTTATCTCGACCGGGTACCGGACCATAAATTTCGATTCGATTTACATAATTGCCGGAAATTTGGATAATTGGATATGATTATCGCGTTCGTTGCGTTCGATTTCGTCAAAACGGGTCTCCGGGAGGAGCTGTTTATTAATAAAACAAATCCCTCCCCATAAATCCCGTCATCCGGTGAAACATTAACTCCGTGGAGACGAAATTTACGACGAAATCGACACCGATCCCGTAATTCAATCTTCGCTTCTAATGTCCCTCGTCGTCGGGCAAAGCCTCTTTCAAACTTTGCCTCGTATCGCTCTCTGTGCAAGTTAAATTTCCTCCGACTTTCGACATAAATAATTACGACACAATGTAATTAGATGTTTATTATATATGTAAAAGGAAGTTCAGGTGTACAATATTTAAAAAACAATATCGATACTTACTATTTACAGATCGTTCTTAATTATATACAGAAAAGTGTTTCACATATCGAATTTTTCGGGCCAACAGAAAGAAATTCGAACAGTCTCGATACACCCGAGATACTCGGATCTTCCTTAACATTTATTAATTCTTATGGATGCTTACTATTTACAGATCGTACTTAATTATACCCAGAAAAGTGTTTTACATATCCAATTTTTTGAGTCACCGGAATGAAATTCGAACAGTCTCGATACATCCGAGATTCTCGGATCTTTCGTAGTGGTTAAAAGTTGGAGTGTGTCGGGAGCGTTGTGAAACGTAACAGAAATGGAACGATGATTGCAGGTTGTCCAGGCGGCGCCCCTACCCGTACCTGTCCAGGTGCGTAGCAAGAACGATGGCTCGGGGGTGGCGGCGTCGGTGTCGGGGGTACGCAGACGAAGCGGCTCGCAGGGTTTGCGATCGCCGGCCGCGAAGAGGCCACTCTCCGCCCCCGTGGCCCTTCAGGGTTGGCTACACAAACAGGGCTCCGAGGGTCTCATGCTGTGGAAGAAACGGTGGTTCGTCCTCTCCGAGTACTGCCTCTTTTATTACAAAGGTCAGACCCTCCCTGGTTTTCTTTTACCGCGGAATTACGTGTCGCCTACTTTTTATACGAAAAGAAACAAAAAAATATGAAACGAGACAAAGAACCTCCCGGTTCCGCGTGTTCTTCCCTTGGCGCGATTCCTTCATAAAAAATATTCGCGACCCCGCGAGTGCATTGTTGCTCGCGATACGTACTTTTTCCACGCATTGTTACGTACACAGAGCGTTGCACAAATATTTGACAGATTTCCGATTCGTTCCGAGTAGAAATTTAACAACGCAGTTTTGTATATTTTGAATTGGTTTTTTCTATTCACAGAATTTTTTTATCAAATTTGCGATCCCCCCTCCCACAAATGACTAACTGTTACGTGGCCGTACAACTGTGAAGCATGAAAGAATCGTTTGCGGGTTAATCGCACGGTATTGCTTTCTTGTTCCGGAAAATTGGTAGCGTTTATAGCGAAACCGCAGTCTACAGTGATGTCGGTCAACGTCGGTCAGACAGTGGTTCCCATTAATAACGCACCACTGGTATCTACCGTTCTCTTTCGTCGCAGTATTAACCAGATACCGCGAAACAATAAACAAATTTGTGCACATTAACGCCCCCGGGTAACGATAATTAACGAAAAACGGGAAACGAGAAGTTAACGCCCGTGTTATTAAAAATAAATCGACGTATCGTTTGTTAGCTTCGATAGAAATTAAATAAAGCGAATCGACGAATTGTTCAGAATTTTAATCGTCCATTATTGAATTCCTCTCGATGATACGAGCGTAAAAGGATTGGAAATACTTGCGAATAAAAGCGACGGTAACAGGAATTCCTATTCCGATAAGAGGATCGCAATAAAATTAACAACTTTTCTTTCCCGTTCGATGGCCACGCGACGGGGACGGAAGGCTTTGGCACGGCTTCAACCCTCATCTCGACGCTCTCGTTGTTTTTCACGTGGTACACTCTCCCAATTTCCGGCCGTCATAGTGTCCCCCGCCCACCCCCAAGTTCGCCCTTAACTCTTTTCCGCCAGATCGTTCCCCGGGAACACTAATTGCAACGAGTTCCCCGGTTTCGTACTTACGTGCCTCGAGGATCGATCCTTTATTTTTCCTACCTAATCTTATTATTTTACTAATAAACTAAGAATCGACTGAAAGGGGAATAGTATATAGTGGCTGGAAAATGGCGAGAAAACCGAACGCGTAGAGAAACGCGACGTTTGGATTACAGTTGCGAAAGTTAGTTAAATTAGATTCGATGGATTTCCCTAATTATCGAATCCTTCCCCTCGGTGGTCTCGTTGGCCGTCCCTTCGCGAATCTGGGAAGTCTTACACGAGCTCCAAGTAATCTCGTTCGCGTTCGTGTTCACCTGTAAATAATCGCTTAATTTCCGTCGCGCTGTTCCGCAGTTTCGGTGAATGAAACCAACTCGATCGTTTACGCGCCCGTGAACACCGTTGTTAATTAACGTGATATTATACGCGGGGATGGACGTACAATAGGAACAATGCGTGTCTGGGTTATTATTCCGACGGTGTAAATTAATTTACCGTCGCGTTTTGGTCCATCTGAGCGCGAACCCCGCTTAATGCGGATTTTAATATTCGCTGCAATTCCAGCGGATCGTCGGGCGAGAGCTATTAAATGCCCAGGCCGCAGTATTATCGCAGAAATTCGGTGTCCGGTCGCGATTCGTCCACGGTCGTCTAAAGTTTAATGCACTGTCGGCTCGCATTTACGATTTATCTCGTTCGCTGGGTATCAGCCAGCGCTTTTAAAGACCGAAACAGTACTCTCGAGAATAATTAGTCGGGCGGCCGCGCGACGAAACAAACGCACGGCGTATCAAAACGTTCGAAAATCAAGGAGCAGGGTAGAATTCGACTGAAATAGCGCGCAAACTTTTTTCTTTTTCATTCGCGAGTTTTGTTCGAATTGATACTACGATGAAACGGTGAGATTCAGAATAGAGTATTTTATTTCTTTGTTAGCATTTTAAGACACCATAAATCCCGAGCATCTTAACGCGAGCCATTATGCGGTTTGATTCGAAGGTACCAATTTCAAAGGTAAAAATAGAAACGGCCCCCTCCGGTGCCATCGCCAGATACAGCGCCTTTTTCTCTTCGTACGTGTTCATTCGGACGCGTACGCCGAAATTTATGGCACTTTTTATCTTCCTCCTTTTCCTCTGTCCGCGGTGCTAGCTGATTTATGCCCGCGCCGGCAGCGAACCGTGCGTTAGGCGATATCTACGCGTGTCAATGGCGTCGAAGCTTTCGGATGCGTCGACTCGAAGCCTTCCGATTTGTCAGTGAAATCATTTCCCAGTACCATTTGTCCCCGTCGTCGGGACATTGCCTGGCTCGCGATCGGAAAAAAACGTCGTCGACTTCTTGCCAGGGACTTACATCGAAACAAAATACCGATCTTCTATCGAGACATATCGTTCTATCGTTGTAGAAACCGAAATTCCGAAAGTATCTGGCCTTACTTTTACCGGGGTTTTAGATTTCATTAGAATTTTAGCAAAAAGTAGTCGTAAAAATAGTGTAATATTGCGTATTTAAAAAAAATTAAAATTAGTCCGATCTATGTCGTGTTTGTACTCGTTTCAACCGGGAGAATCCGAGGAATGCATCGGTACTATTTTCGAAAAGATTAACCAACGCACAGTATCTATCTATAATCTTGACAGTTTTGTCCCTAAAATTTTTAACGTTAACGAAACGCCCGATCCTTCCTGAATCAAGCACGAGATTCGTCTGGGAATCGTTTCTGGAAAGAGTTTGCAGTTGTTTGGGCGACCCTTTCATCCTTGATCCCCGCGTTCCTTTTACGCGTGGATTTCGCAACGCGTACACCAGGAGCTCTGATGAATATTTCTCATTAACGAACGAGCACGTCGACTCCCTTTCCACGGCTTTTTCGTAGACTTTCGACGCAAAAGTCTCGCGAACGATCTTTCTGGAATCTTTCTGTGCTTTGCTCCGAGACTCGGAACGAATGTCGCTTTGAGGAAAGAGAAAACAGATTTGGACGGGCAGGCTGCTGTTGGCAGGCAATTACGCGTTCGCCGTGCACGTGCACGTGACACCGAATAATCGAATTATAGAAAAATAATATATTTTAGCATTTTAAGGAAATTTCGCGTTTATTCTACGCAGAGTCGTTGAGAAATATAAATTCTTTGATGGAAGTGGAAGCCCCCTGCGGTTGACAGGATCTATTGCCCCAATCTAAACGTCCATCGTTCACTTTTTCTACGCGAAACGTCCGAGTCTGCAATTGACAAACGTTTTCTGAAGAGAAGGGGCGCTCTTCGAGGGTTCGAAACGTTAATATGGCTCCCAGGTTTCCTTTTCTCCGCGAATTTGTGGACGATTTGCTTTCAGGTCCGGAAGAGGAGAAATTGCTGGGCTCGATATTGCTACCGTCGTACAGGGTCACTGTCTGCAAGCCCGAGGACAAGGTCAACAGAAAGTTCGCGTTCAAAGCCGAGCACGCTAACATGAGGACCTACCACTTCGCGGCGGACAGTCGCGAAAGTATGAATCAGTGGGTGAACGCGTTGACCCTGGCGACCCTTCTTCAGGATCCCAGCCCGTGAGTCCACGTTTTCTCTAACTCTGTTCGACCCTTTCAAACTTTAAAAAAATCGAGACTCCTTAAACGAGCTTCGTTGCTTTGCAAACTTGTGCACTGCAAATCAGAGCGTCTCGGTTTAAGACGCGTAACGCGAGTGTGAAGACTCGAAGCATCGAGAAACGAAGCGTTTCGTCGCCATTTTGCTTGGGATGGCCAGAGAGGAGTCGATAGAATTTATTACGACGGACAGAGGGGGGAACAAAAAGGAGAACTCGAGGGCGATATTTCGCGCGAGTTCGCCAGCTGGAACGACTTTGTTCCCCCATCGACTCGTCGATCGATCGAAATTTATCGCTGGATATTCAGCCGACTCACTTTTATCGGAGTTCAATTAGCTAAGAGCAGAAGGAGACCTCGACGCGGACGAGCGCCATTGTTACGCGGAATCATTTATTTCGCCGGGATTTCTTTATACAGCCTCTCCGTTTATTTCTTATTTTCTTCATTTTGCTCTTATCGGCTGTCCTTTCGCTCCCATTTTTAGCGATTTCGTTTTGGAATCGTGTGGGCAGCGCGACGCCATTTGCAAACTCTCGACGAAGACGCATTTTTATTTAACAGTGTCGTTCCAAAGTTATTTTCGATACGAGACTCTGTTAATATTTTCGTTTATCAGTCATTTTATGCATTCACAGCGACAGATTCGTTCGCGAAGCTCAGATCAGTCGCATAATTACGACAAATACTTCCGGGGACCAACCGTGCAACCGCACACTGGAATTCGATTGCAAATGGCGGCTGTCCGCCGCGGGTAAACGGTTAATTCGAAACATCGTTCAGTAAATAGAGATCGAACGGAGCTCCCAGCGCGGATGTGGGGGAGGGAGAAGTTTCGTCGCGTCCGGCGAGAGGAGTCATTAGCTTTGAGAACGAGCTGACCCGAAACCGCAAGCTCCCGGAGATAGACTTCGCAACGAGGCGGCGATCCGCCTTGCAAATTAAACGAGCGTTTCGTAGTTTTTCGGCGAACGTCGCAGCAACGACAAACCGCCACCTCCTGCCACTTTCTGTCGTTGGTTCTGCTCGTTCTTCCGGCCGCGTTCGTTCGTTGGCAACTTCGAGAAAGCAAACTACTAACGAGTTGGATAGTTGGGCCGCGATTACGCGCGAAACGAGAGCCTAACTCAGCATCCTGCGGCTGGTCACGACGTTACTTCCGTGGCGGATAAACACGGACGACTACCCCGGCGGGGCACCGATTTCCTCCGTCCAGTACGTCCGTTCGCGCCAATTAATTGCACGGCAAATCGGTCGGATCTCACACCCTGGTTCCTCCTGGTTCGAGCTCACTTCCGAGGACGGTTTCCGCCAAACAGAAACAGCTTTGTCCTTTTATGCAAATTCCCAGCCATTCTCTGGCTTCGTCACAGGCAGCTGGAACGTTAGATCACACCCTCGACTCGATTTCGATTCTAGTTTTGTGTCGTAACTCTTTAAGAGTGGATTTTCAAAGTTATAATTAGACTGCAGATCTTCATGCAAATTCATATTTTTGTTAATAAGTTGTCTCAACCCCTAGATATAATAATTCGTACCTTACTTTAAGTATTTCTTATATTCTTGCGTGTTAAGTGCATTCTGTAATTTTTTGAGAATTAAAATTTCCCATAAATGTATAAACATCCGCAGTCTAGTTATAATATTCTTCTTCTTCTTCGGAGCGATCCTTTTCTCGTCGATGGTAAATTAACCCTTTGCACTCGACTGCTCTGAGGGGACAACCGACAAAGAATATGGATGTACCTTCTAAGCGGAGAATGTAAAAAAAAGATACGTTTACTTGGATATTTGCTATCTATTTCGTGAGAAATAGCCTCCGAGTGCAAAGGGTTGGTAAAGTGAACGCAAAGTTGCAGTCGACCGGTTTATTGTAACAGACTGGCGAATATGAATAACTATGTTAACGTGTCGTATCAAGGAAGTGAACTCGAACGAGCTGATTTTCCCTCCTTTTTACCGAACGACTCGCCAAATAAAAGCAAAGAGGAATTATACGAAGCAGAGCGAAAGGGCGGGGTTCATCAAATAAGGTCTTCTCGGGATCGATTATCGGAAAGGTCTCCCTATTATTTCCGAACAATCGATGTTCCATCGTGTACGTAAAAGATTTAATAATGTCAAAAGAAAAGACTCCGTCACGTTGATATAAGAATAAAGAAAAAGACGAAACTTAACTATCCCTCGATCTGTACGTAAACGATATTTACGGAAGTCTCGAGCGCGTGAAAAGCGGCGATGTAAACTTTTGGACGAGAGCCTGCAACGTATGCACGGTTGAACTTTTTAATCGGCGAATGGATCCTGTTCGTTTCTCACCGGCAGCTTCGTAGTGGGCACGCGATCCTACAATTGCCGATGCAAATATCGATACGGTGAAACGATGGAGATGTTTTGACGGAAACTCGATTCAACTTTTGTTATCCGGGTAAATAGAGAGACACAAGCGTTCCGTGGAAAAACAAAGTTTAACGCGATAACACTCCGTGTTGATCTTTACGCGTACGTGAAAACGGAACAATCTCTTTTACTTTTTTACCGTATGGAAAAAACGTCGAATATTTTTCAACGATTCAGGGCGGCGACCGTGTCTTAAAAACACTCCGCGTTCGGCGAGAATTTTCGGTCGCCATGGAAAAGTTTTTAATTCGAAATTCCCCGACAAATTACATCGTCGATGCACGACGTCGATGCTTCTGCGTCTCGAAGGACTGTTCGCGACTCGACGGGAGGATGCAAATACGACGGGGAATAATGAATAAATTCGATGTGCTCCAGCGGAGTCGGCGAGGCGGCGGTGGTGATCGAGATAGAAGGCCAGCAGGACGGCGAGCGTAGCGCGAGACCCAGCGTCTCGTCGATCTCCTCGATCCTGAATCAAAGCGCGGACGACAGCGACTCCGGATTCCACGGTTTCCAATCGCGGGACGATCCCAGTCACGCCTCCAACAACAACTCGAGCCCGAACAGCGTGAACACCGCCTCGTTCCCGAATCTCAGCGGCAGCAACGGCAACACCAACACCGGCAACGGGTCCAACAGCAACAACAACAGCAACGGCAACAACAACGCCGGGAACGCGACCACGAACAACGTGAACGAGGTCCAGCCGATGGTGAACGGTTGGATCCAGCAACAGTCGCAGTACGGTCAGCCCAGCACGTCCCAGCATCAGCAACAGCAACAACAATACGGCCAGCTGATGCCCTCGCCCCAGCAACTGCAGCAGAACTACGCCCGCCAGCACCAGGCGTTGCTGCACCAGCTACTGCCCCCCCAGAACGCCGTGCAGAGCCATCAGGCCCATCAGCACAAGCAACAGCAACAGTCCCAGCCGCATCCAACCGCCAGCAACGTCCAAACGGTACAACCAATGCCCAGGAAATTTGGACAACCGATCTACGCGAACGCGCCGCCCAAACCAAGGAGGCTGACAGACGGATCGACGGAGTATTCCACCCCCTCGCCGGACCCCGATTACAGGAAATCTCCGGTCTCGCCGGACGTTACGGTGACCAGCAAGAGTCCCATGTCGGACTACGACAGGAGCAGCGTGATCTACGGAACCAGGATGAGCCAGCCGTCCCAGCAGAGTCTCAGGACCGACAAATCGGGCCTGAATTACGGCTACGGTCAGGTGCAGACCGAGAGACGCACGCCGGATACTTATGGACGCAGCGCGACGAAACCTCGGTCTGGCAGAGGGAACGGGGACTACGAGGAGGTGTACGGCGTGCCACAGCTCTACCAGAGGCCCGCTGGGCCCGTTGGATACTCGAAGGGGGCCTCGCCCGCCCCCATTCCGATACCCCTTTACGCGCAACAGTACCAGCAACACCAACAGCAGGTCCACTCTCCGGTCGCGTCCATTAACGGTGAGTGTCTAGAGTTCCGCCATCTCGACGGGCCCAAATTAATTTTTGGCACACGATCGATCGAAGTGACTTGTTTATGAAGCGTTTCTTGAACATTGGGGAACAGTTTTTTTTTAGTGTCTATTGCTATTTGTAGCGAACAAAATGGTGTTGCCCTGGAGCATATAAATGGTAACCGAAGACCGCCATTTTGTCCGGTACAAATAGACGCAGAGGTTTGAAAAAAATTGTGTTCGAATGTTAAAGGAACGCTTTAGACGCGGTGAAGAGGTTATTTGAATCGAACGCACGCGTTTCTTGTAAAAAATTCGTGAATGTGACGGTTCGTTTTAAGCCCGTCGAGACGATTTTGACGACGTTGAAAAGTGGGTCGAAAGTTTATCGTTCGCTCTCGTCTCGGTTTCGCGGGTTCTAATCGAATTCTAAACGTTGTTAATTGGATTGGCAGTGCCGATAATGAGGCAGCCCAGGGCACAGCCACCGCCGCGGCCCCACAGTGCGGACTTCTTGGAGTACGAAGCGGCCAGGAGACCCCAACAGCAAGTGCAACAGCAATGCAAGGAAGCGTTGAACCAACAGAGGCGTCCACAGAGACCTAAATCCAGCCTAGACATAGTCACTCCATCGGACGCTGCGAACGATGGATATTTCTATTCGGAAGAAAGGTAAGGAATCGCGTAGCTTCGACGTCATCGAGATAAAGATAATCGTTAAAAGAGATTTCCAGCCAATAGAAATAGACTAAATCGTTATTCTCTCGGGGGATCGATATTGTTTACGGGTGTGTTTGGATCAGATACGCGGCACAGATGCGGCAATCCGCAGTTTATCTCCACCAGACGCCACAGCATCACCAACAACAAAGGAACCAATCACTTTCGCGGGCGACAATGCCGTCGAAGGTAACGGGAATCCGCGACAGAGGCGACGAAAGTAGAATAGCAACGTTGCCGGAGGCTTCGTGCTCCGGGCTGAGACGAGGACAACGCGAACACGTCCATCAGCAGCACGTGGTGTCCCATCAATCGCTTCATAGGCATACCGAGTGAGTCACGCCAATATCCTTTTGTCAATTTCATCGCGTTCTTCGAAATCTGTAGAAATTCGCTATTTACACGTCCCCGCGAATCTAGTAAAAATCTGATCGTCTCTTCACGAGCAAACCAAAATGGTTCCGTTGTCATAAATGGCGAAAGCAACAGACGACGATCAGATTCGATCTGTTGCTCGCGGAACTGTGAATCCTACGGTAAGTTAGCGTCGCGCGAAGGTGGAACGCGTTAATTGCGAGCGTAAGATCGAATTAGAGGGTACAAGACAGCTGGAATTTGTCCGTTCGGGCAGGATGAACAGCAGCGAGGCGAAGCTGAGGAGGTCCTTGCGGGAGAAGAGCTACGAGACGAGCAGCCGTGAAATGTTGACTCATATGGAGGACGGGACGGTTCCGCGAAGAATTCCACGGGACTACGAGTCGTCGATGGGGTGGGGCAGGCCGGCGAGTCACTCCAGCCAAGGGGCCCATCTGGCCCAACCGTGTCACGCTCCTCACGTCGGCGCCAGACGATGGAACGACCAGCAACAGTTCTGCAGGTCTGCGTCCGCGCGACTCCCGAGGACGAGGCATCCGGCGGCCCTGGACCCCGACGACGACGATTACGGCGAACGATCATCCGAGCAGGACTCCAGAGATGGTGAACGCAAAATCCAGCAGGTTGGTCTCCTTTTTCATTTATCATCGATCAAATGACTTGACGCGTACAAAAGATACGAAACCACCGTGTTAACCGGAATTGTTCGAATCGCGGAATAGTTTTGAATCCGAACGATTTACCGTGTTGATTTTCGAAACCACCTAACCCGAAGCGATTTTCAATCACGCATGTCCGCCAGACATATTCTGTTAAACAGTTGCGCTAATTGGAACAGTGGAAACAGTTCTTGTTATTAAGCAATTAACGGCGCTATGCTGTTCTACCTAGATTAAGGCGGATTTAACGGAAACATATCTCGTAATAATTTTCTTTTTTAAATATTCGGTGCAAGAGCCAATTTGCTTCGTCTAGCAACAAGCAGAGTTTCCGTGAACCTAAATATGGGTTCAAAGGAGATGATTCACAAATCGTCCCTTTGCTTACGAGCGTCCGTTGGCTCGTCAGTGGACGAAACAATACGTCGACTGCACGGTCAGAGACGATGATTCATACTTGGTTGCAACCTGCCTCGTCTACCTGCATTTCAGTCACGTCGTTCGTAATTCTGCTTTCACTACGATCCGTTCTACGGGGCTCGTCATCGTTGTAACGACGTTGCTTGTCCTTTCCGCGTGCATACGCCGTTCCGCGAACGTGAAAGATCGCGCGTGGCCTCGCCACTTCCTCCCATGCGCTTCGAATTCCAACGATTTACATCTAAATATATCAGGAGCATCTTCGCCACGGTTACGGATTTTATCCCTTAAATGAACTCAATTTCAACCGAATTATTTTACTTAACGTTCATTCTTATCAAATTGGTAAATGGAAATCAACTTTCCTTTTAAACATTTATAGAACTAATGGAGGATTACATACATTTTCAAATAATTACATTGCTAATCCCACCGTCCATTTGTTTCACGATATTTTAAAAATCATACGAATAATAACGGGTATAATATGAGAAGTGTAACTTAATCCCAAATTTAAACCACATCGATGTACACCATAAGGAATATTCGTAAAAGTATTGTCCCGTTGTAAATAATTATAATCGTGAATGAGAATAGTATTATAATGTTTCTGTGGGTTGGAGGGGCCGTTTTTAACGGTTTCCTGTTGAAGGGAGTAGCATAATGGGGTCGCGATCGAAGAAGTAGTCTAGACTGTCGGACGTGTTGCAGCGGGAGGAGTCGATGAAGCGGCTGCTGGAATGGAAGCAGCGGATGCTGCAGTCGCCGCTAACCCGGAAGCCATCCGGCTCGGCAAACAGAGGCAGAGCGCAGAACGAGCTGTCTAGCTATTACAAGCAACAGGCGCTTCTGGAGCTGGCTGCCCACGAAGCGTCCGTGGCAGAGGGTCGGCACTCGAGGAGAAGAGAGGACGTCGGTCATCGTCCGCACACGCGTAGCAAGAGCACCGACGGACGAAGGACGGTCGCCAACGTTTCGCGATACAACAGCTACTCCAGCGACGACGAAGGTAGGGACACCTCGCCTGAACTTATTATCTGAGTTGTGGCTTTGAGCGACGCGTGCCTTTCGTGGGATTGTTCGATCGTTTTTAACATCCTTCGTCGGCTTCGAGAACGCGACACGTTCGATGTTTCGTTTGTCTTTGGCTAGCTTTTCGACCAATGTTTCTCGCGTTGAATTTGAGTTTTGTGAATCGCACTGCATGGAGATGTGTACCGTTTTGCCCCGGAGGTTCGAAGGTCCCACGGAAGTCGAAAGAACACTCGCGAGTAGATGGCTGGACAGTACTAAAAGAACGATAGCAAAAACCCTAACACCGCTCTAACACGGTAAACGTGCATACGTCGCGAGTTTGAATAAAAACGCTTCTGTACGGTGTTGCACGTCGAGAGAGACAGTATCTCGTTTAGAGACACGTTTACCAAAGACTACGGGCACGCTCGTTCGCGTGACGCTGACTGCGCATGACGATGGATATTATTTTGTCTTTTTGTCCCTAAGTACGACGATATATATTCTCTAGTTTTTAAATAAAGTGCCTTTGTACCATTTGAACTCGTGAGTCCAATTAATCTGTGTGCATCGCAGCCTACCTACACCGTTATTTCCAATGCGATCGATTCGTGAGCTCCTTGGAACTAACACGAAACGCACGATTAAAAAAAAAAAAATAAAAAGAAAGAAAACACCGTATTGTTTGCGACCCCGAGAATCGAGCGGACGTCGTCTACGAGTATATCGAGTTTTCTCGTCCCTGCGCTCTCCTCCTCTCTGTATCTCTGGTTTTGTTTCTCTTTCTATCGCCGAGACCGCCCCACGCCGAGGGACAGAGACGAAAGTTTGTAGATAGCCACGATCTTTCGAAGGGTGAATGGAAAAAAAAGAATGTACAAAATCAAATAAATATTTTGTAAGATATAAGAGAGCCAGAATCTGCAAACGTTTTCTCCGTGGGGGCTCCTTCTCTTTGCTGCTGTCGGGGTCTGACTGGTGAATGGGAACGAATTAACACCTTTGGAATCTAACTGTCGACCGTTACGACCTAACCACTCGTACTAAAGCTGTATTACTTTGCGAAATGTGGGTCAGCATGGCATGCCAGAGGATTATCACTAACACTATCGTAGAGGCGTTCAGCCGCAGCTGCAGTTTACCTTCCAGCTCGCAAAACGTGTGTCTCCGCTGGCCGAGATACATCCAGAGAACACGATCGGTCCTTGGATCGTTGCGGGATCGGTTCGGTGCTTGGAAACGATATTTAAAAGCTAAACCACGCGCACCAAAGAGCGCAAAACTAGGGAACTGTCGCGAGGATCCCAGAATCCATAATCCAGAATCATTCTCGCAACGATCGGGATCCGACCGCAGCTTGGTTAACCTTGGCTTGAACTGCATCGAGAGGGTTTGGGTTGTCCATTAATTTGATTCGTGAGTAACGAACGTGCTCGTGTGTTTGTTTTGTAACGGACAAATCAGAGCTGGGAGATGTCCGGAGGAAGCGTACGCGCAGACCCTCGCATGCAGGAAGGAGCCCCCGGCAGACCGGAGACACTCGAATACCGGTCCAAGACGCCGTCACCGGAACCGGCCGCCAGAATCAGAACGCACCACGAACCTCGACCGACCGCAAAACGAGCCCCAACGCTTCGTTGCCGCCCAATATGGGTGGAATACCCCCCGACGCCGGCTACGAGGAGGTCAGCTTCCCCTCGACGATGAGGCTTGATCGTTCCTCGCCGTACCCGCCCGCGGAACAGAGGTCTGTCGCCAGGAACGATCAGGACCTCGACGAGAACAAGTTTAAGAAGAAACCGTCAGGAATCTTGAAGTCCTCCGGAGTCTATGGCGGCGACCAACCCGTCGACAACTCGTCCGTCGAGTACGCGGACACCTGGCCGTCCCAGAAGAACGTCCAGTGGATCGGGACGAGGGACGATTGGGACTCCAACATCGACGAGAGCAAAGTGATCAGAGAGTTCTCGTACCAGTACATCAAGCCCAAAGAGGAATCCGAGAGGAACGAGGACAGACCGGAAACCATGAATCTGGTGCAGTGCAGGATCAGATCGTTCGAGCAGAGCATGGACGGGTCCAGTCCCGTGAAGGAGGTGCTCGCCATGCAGGAACCCTTGAAGGTGTCGCCCCTCCAGGCGACCGAGGCTCACGTCTCGAGGCTGGACTCGTCGAAGAAGGCGTCGTCGGTGATCCGTAGCTTCGCTCTGGGCGAGCCCGAGTCCCAGTACAGGGACGCGAAGAACGGCCACGCGAAGCAAGCGTCCACGGACAGCAACAAGTCGGTGAAGGATCTGCTGGCCGATTTCGAGAGGAAGTCCCAGCAGATCCAGAGGCAGGAGTACGGTAGACGTCAAGAAGTGAAGCATCGCGGGGTGTTCAGCGACTCGGAGGCCCTGCTCTACGATACCGGGAGCGACCTGGATAGGAACGAGGATGTCAGGATAGATCAGCTCCTCCCCGAGCCGGTCGACAACGACAAGGTCTACGTCGACACGGTGAAGAAGAAGACCGACGTTTCCTTCAGACGGAAGAAGAGATCGTCGTCGAGGGACCGTGTCGCGCCTACGGAGGACCTGGACATCGCGTCGAACCCCGGTTGCACCAGATTGAGCGTCACGGAGTCTCTGTTGACCCACGGTGACCAGTTCTCCGGAGAAAGCGGAACGACTAGTCCCACCGTGAAGCACGAGGACATCAATCCCGAGGAACATTATCTGCCCATGTCGCCCAGGAAAGCTATACTAGACCCTAACTGCGACGATCGGCCAGATCCAAGGATGATGGAGAGCTTGTTCGCGAACCTGGAGCACGAGGAGAGCTCGTACGTGGAGATGGCGCAAAACGGTATGACTCATTCGCTACTAGCGCCAAACGGGGAGACCAGGAAACACGATTCCGGCGACTACTCGACCCTGGACACCCCCCACTACGAGTTCGTTTGCGTCTCGGACAGCAAAATGGAGCCGGTGTACATGGAGGTGAGCCAGCTGTCGGAGAAAGAAGAGGACAAGAAGAGGACGTCTCGCAACGATTCCGTACACTCGAGGACAGACCTGCCGGACATCCTGACGGCCCTGAAATCCGACAGCTCGGACGCGGACGACGAGTCCTCCAAGGATCTCGACTCGATCGACGCTCCGCGACACCCCAGGTTCAGTTTATCCGACACTTTTCGACCCGCCTCCTACTATTTAGGCGCCAGTCGAACAATGATCGCCGAGCTCCACGATTCCTCCGACAGTGAGCTAGTATCACCGCCGCCGATTCCCACCTCTCCACCGCCGCTGGACGATCTGGACTCGCTGGACATGCAGGAGTCGCTGGAGATCAAGAAAGTGTCGCCCCAGGTGGCCGTGACGAAGGACAACGGCTCGAGCAGGGACTCGCCGAAATCGTGGAACAAACCGATGGGTCAGGTCGAGACTCACAGACCCCCGTCCAGGTTCTCGGACGCCACGATCAGCTCCACGTTCAGGGACAGCCGGATGTCCCTGGAGAGCGCGTCTGGAAGCGATTCCGTCGAGCTGAGAACGCCGGAGGAGGAGGCGAGGCACAGACAATTGAAAACGAGACCCGTTAGCGAGGTCTGCGAGGTCCTGGACAGCTTGGACGAATTGGAATCCCTTGGAAGTCGTTTCGACGGGGCCAGCATCGACCTGGATCAGTACCTGGAGGAACTGCAGGCCCGCGACGCCTTCAACGTGGACCTGTACGCGAAGGATCTCAGCTACAACAGCATATACGGCTTCAACGAGAACATGATGGTGGTGGACAAGCTCCAGAAGACCACCTGCCAGAACCTGTCGCGGCATACGAACCTGGGTTTAAGGAACCTCGGTGCCGTGAACAAGATGGGCTCGGCCAGCAGTCTGCCTTCCATGAGGGTTTGCGACATTCCTCCCTCTCATCAACACTCGCAGTCCTTCACTGGCGACGCCCACTACGAAAACGTTATCAGCTTCTCTCCGTTGAGGAGCTCGCCAGCCGTTCGATCGGACAACGAGCAGACCCGGGACGGAGGTCACAGGCTTCGAAGGACCTCTCAGAACAATCTGATGACGTCCTCCCACAGCAGGGAGTCTAGCTACTCCATTTCTACTTCGATGGCCTGTCAGAGGCCTGCCAGCGCGCAGTCCTCGATGCACTCGCCCACCGGTTCCATCTCCCTGGGGAGCCACGGAAACAGCTTGGTCGCGAACATCATGCGGAACGCGAGTCCGTACTCCGATCAGCGGTTCCAGAGCCACTCGAGATCGGCCAGCCAGGATTCCGCCCGGTACTCGATGATATCGAACCACAGGTCGTCGTCCAGCCAAGACTCCAGCCACTATCCGACCTCGACGTCGACCGTGAAAGCCACCCCGGTGCCTCAGTCCTATTTACCGAACGAGTCGCGATCCCAGAGCGAGCAGTCGGGTGCACCGTACTATTACTCCGACCTGCAAGCCAGCGCCAACGCCATGGACACCGAATCGGCCAAACCGATCGGTCACACCTCCAGGCTACCTCAGCTGAACAACCAGAGGGACGACGCGTCAGCGTTGAACAAGAGGAACGACATAGGGCGCATAATAAACCCCATCGCCAGACAAATGCCCAGGCAGATCCAGGTGGAGGACATCGACGAAGCCAGACGCATAGCCGCGGAGCTCAGGAAGACCACTTGCCAGCTGCTGGGCGACAACAAGGTGGACCTGGTGGACAAGAAGAACTTCTACGAGGCGGACACCCTCAGGCGGGTCAAGTCCACGGACCCACTGCCTGATATTTCATCCGCGGAGATCAGCACCAGGAACCTCTATCCTCACGGTCTCCGGGACAAGTCTAGCGGCCAGTCGAGTCTACGGGAGGCGTTCGAGCTGATGCACATGGCGCAGACATCTCACCGGAGGTCAAGATCGTTGGAGGGTCTCTTGGACGACGTGGGTCTCCAGAACCTGATGGAGCAGAGGAACCGTAGCAACCGCGTGGCGACCGTTCAGCCAACGCAAACCGAGGAGGCGCCGCAAAACGTCAGCAACGTATCGACGTCCGGCAACTTCAGCGCGGAGGATCCCTGGGAGCAGGACTCATTGTGGCGGGAGAGTCTGCGGAGAGTCAGTCTGAGGAACGCCAGGTCCCTGGACAACCTGGACAGTCCGCCCAGGCCGACGGGCTCGTCGAGCTCGGACGCCAAGGGTCGCAACAAGGTGACCCGCGGCGCCATCTACGTGAACGACAGCGTGATCATGAGGCGGGAGAACTGTCTGGAGGACGCCGCGGAGAGGCCACGAGTGAAACGCAGACCCAACAAGGACCAGGTTGACGACCTGACCTACGAGAGCCTCTCGATGGACCGTATACACGCGGGCGGTTACGTATGGGACGCGGAGAACGAGGCGTACAGGAAAGCAACCGCCGAGGACACGAATCATTTTTTAGAGGAGGGCAACCTTCCCCCGGTTCGCCTGATCTCGGAGACGCAGATGTCGGGCACGACGTCCGCGGCGTTCGAGCTCGACCGCGAGAAACTACGCCAGTGGGACCTGCTGTCGAGCGCCTGCTTGCTCCAGGAACAGCAGCGGGGCTCGATGGCGGACTCGGGGCGAGGGTTGCCAACGTCAGAACGACCTGGAGACGTTCTCGATTCAAGGAACAGCATGCGCGCCACGACTGGCGACGCCATCACCGCGACCACGACCACGACCGCGATCGCCAGCGAGCCGGACGTCGTGTTGAAGGTGCTGGCCGCGAACGTCTCGACGAGCACGAGCGCGACGACGAACGTCGCCGGGACGACCAAGAGGCAGGAACTGAACGAGACCAAGGATGCTTCTAACCGAGCTACAGGTGAGTGGCTCCTCAAGACCGGTGGTGTGTTCAGGAAGTGACTGGCCGTGTTCCAAAGCGTCGACATGGACTCGATGGACGCCTACGTCCTCGTTCGTAATGCCCGATGGACTCACTGCGACTACCAAATGTACCTGCGTTTACGGTGGCTTGTATAGCGTTTAGCCACACGCTGTATTCTTTTGCACCGCGATCCCAGCGACCGCCGACCCCCTCAAACACGATGCAATTGTGCTTCGTGGAAAGATCAAACTATAGGGCACGACGATGGGGTGTTTCTTTTCATGGAGGATACCAGGTTCATACGAAAATAATCCGTTTCTTGCGGTTCCATACAATTTTCAACGTTTTGTGGGAGCGGCGATCGACGTTTCAAAAGAATACAGTCGTTGTTTCCTAGTTAATACGACAGACCGCGTTCCAACTTGCGCAATTGGTTTGCTCTGAGACTTTCGGGACGATTTTCGCGTGCACGTTAGAGTAGCGACAACGATAATTATCGTGAATAATCGAAGCCCGACAAACGTTCGATCAGCGTCTAATTAGTGCGAGTTGGAACACGGCCTGACAGATGAGTGTTGCGTGAGCTGATACGCGTGTGAGTGACTCTCGTTAGAGCCTATTGTATGCCGAAGAAAAAGCTTCGCGATTTTACTGAACGAACAGTTTTACTCTGCGAATCACCGTGTTCCCGCACGGTCGTTTTATTAGGTTGCTACCGTAAGTCCTGTCCTGTGATTGTCTTGAATACGAATCGAGAATCACGTGTACCTCCAAAGGTATGTGGATATTGCCCGGGGAGCGTAATACGAGGTCAGCAAAAAGGAATTTCGACGGTTTCTAAACGATTAATTTTAGAATTTGCCCTGTTCGTTGGGCGATAATAATAATTTTGTTAATTGGATCACGATTAAAGTTGGCATAAACCGTCAGAAGTTGACGAGTAAAAGATTGGGGCTCGACTTTTCGCAGCAACTTAATATTGATAATTAGTTTCGTTGTATTTAATTTGTTACGTTCAGCTAGATCTTGAACAATTCGCGATGAAACACTTAACGCTTTTATTGTCATTAATACACTGGAGCATTCTACGCACAAAACTTCTGCACAGAGATGGGTAAAACTTTTCTTAGAATAATAGATAAAGAGAAACGTTTTATAAAATAATTTATAGGCGACTATTAGGGCGAAACATTGCTTCGTTCCACGATTCTTTTCATTCGCCGTGTCAAACTTTTGCCCTTCTCTGCTTCTCCACAGCTTGTCCGTGCTAACTTCAGATTAGAATTGATAGTTGGACGATACTTTTATTTATTACGCGAGCAAACGTGTTCGGTGACAGCAAAAGTGCCAAGCGAGCAATTTGAAACCTTAACGTGCCTACTCCTTTCTAGTAGATAAATTACTTAACGATTAAGATTGCAGGGTATAAGACTAGGGGTCGATTTTGATAACGACGCCGTAATATATATCGGACCTATCGATTTCAGCTTCTTGCGTTAAGTTCCCCCGAGTGTTGTATATACATATTATTAATCGATTCTGTTTTCTTCAGACATTCACTAATATTTCTAGCACTTAAGCGTGATTAAGAGAGATATATATATAAAGTTCAGACGTTTTTCCTACAGTTGTTCCCGACTTTTGTACATCTTTGCGTCCTCGACCTCGAAACGAGCCAGAGAGAAGAAAAAAAAGGCAAATTGCGCTGCAAAATATTTTCGTAAAATTCCTCGACGCGATTCATAATTCCCACCGGTGTCCCGGAAATTCAGCAGAAACTCGACAATTTTCTACCGCCACGTCCGATAAGCTGAAATTTATTCGCTGTGACGCGACGTCGCGAAATTAGCGACGTTCCGCTTCCGGTTATCTCGCCCCCCACCCCCCACCCCCCTCCTCCAGTAAGTTACACTTTCCGACGGCCATTCGTGCGCGAGACTGGAAGGCAAATTTGTTCGAATCGTAGGTGAATCGACATCGAAGCTGGACACTATCAATAAAAATTGAAAAATAGATAATCACGACATTTCAGTTATCCGGGACTACCTTCCACAGAGATTCTCTTGCAGGTTTGGAGACGCAGCCCGGCATCCCAGTGAGTAACTCTCCCATAATTTACCACCGAATCCATCGTCAGATGCTAAGACGATAGTTTTGTAAGAAACTTAAGGCGTACGATATTTGTTTCTATTGTAAAAAGAATTCCCGTGCGACTCCTCGATGGTTAAATTTGGCGGTGGCGTAATCCTCTCGCAGAGGCGCCAACGAAAATACTGAAAATACACGTTCGAACGTAAAATCGTCGAGTAGGTGAAACGGTCCATTCGGGGAGTCAGGGATTTAAAGCAAACACGAACGAGCTTGGGGAGTTTGGATAACGGTCGTTCGCTGACCGATCGAGAGAGACTCGAGAGTGGCCCAAGAGCCCTCTCACCTACCGACTTAATAAGTACGTTCACCTTCGGTGGTCGAAAACCTGGGGATCAAAGTGGACGCGCGGGGATCGCGATCGGCCGCATTCTCGGGCCACGAGGCGAGAAAAGGAAGGAGAGGTGCTCCGGTGGAGTCCCGTGTGCTATCGAGAAAACGGGTTCGAGACCGTGGAGAAGGTCGCGCGAGGAGAACTGGCAACGGAAGAGAATAAAAAGAGCAGGAAACGAATCCGTACGACGACCGTCTGGATCACCGCGCCCGAGTAATCCGCATTAATTCTATTTACCGTCAAATAATCGCACCAGAACTGGCACGAACTGCGCGCGCATCCATCAATGGCGTCTTCAACCGTATTGCCTTTTTTCCTCCAATTCGAATCCTCGACTTTTTTAAATAGAAAACGTCGCTTCGACAACGTACAATATTCTGCAAGACTGAAATTTTAATTTTGGAGCATTATAAATCTAGTATGGCGGCTAAAGTGTTAGAGGGTTGCACCAAACGAACGCTATTTTCACGAATTTATTACGCAAACTATGAGCGTTCGTTTGAGACGTCCTCTTTACCATTAACGAAGAATTTCTTGAAAAAATTATCCAAGGGCCTAGGTTTCTAATTATGTAAGAACAAGCAAGCCTTGAAATTCACCTGCAGCGATCCTGCTGGAATTTATCACGGAGGACAATGGACGTGCTCGCGTTTCGCGTGTCGCAACAGTCTGTTCTCTCGCCCTGGATCGTCAGATCGCTATCGTGGACACCGTCTCGCGGTAGTCGCTCGAAAGACCTTTTCCGAATCGCGTTCGCGATCTGGCATTTCTCCGACACCCGCGAACGACAGCCATAAGCGCGGTAGCTCATAACGCCCGTGGTAATATAATGCGCTTAACGCATTAGATGCTCGTTGTACGTTGCTCTTTGTCGCGGGTTCAACAACACCCGACGTGAATCGATAGACACGTCGTTTTACTTTTACAGTGTAGTCTCTTTCCCCGACGAGCTGGACGCGACCGGAAGTCGAACGCGAACGAGTCGCAAACTCGGCTTTAAAACGGTTGCAAGACCCTTCGAGCGTGAAATTCTTTAAACTTTTTTTTTGGGGGGGGGGAAATTTTTTGCGATGGAACCGTATACGCGCCCGAGCGATATTGTGAAATTTTTTGTGTCGAAAGATCCTCTCGAACGTATTTTTAAATAGAAAAGTTCTAACAGTGGAGAGTAATGAAATAATCGAATAGCAGAAAATGACAGAGCACGGAATGAAATGGATATTTAAATAAATTATAACGCGTACTGTTTATTTGCGTCTGAGACGATAAAGCACGTAGCCCCGGAGAAAAACTAGTCCACACAGCCATAAATACGCCGGAGTCATCGCCTATGCGCTCATGGTAATGTGGTCACGTTTCTTTGCGCCGGCACACGCGACACAGCGATTCAGAGATTGAAATTATAATGCTATAGCGACCAGGCATTCGCGGTATTAGAATATCTGGGGAAACTATTAACTTCAGTTTTTTAATATAAAGCAATTTATAATTATATTCTTTAAAATTTTCCTCGGTCGTAAAGTGCTGATAACCGGTGCACTATGGCTCCCTGGAAACCATGCTATTTTTATAACACTGACTGTTATTTGAATTAACTCTTTCTGGAGACAGCACCATCGACTAATGCAATATAATTATAGATATTAAACCTTCGAACGAAATTCAGAGCCAAGATTGATTAAACGAAGGATATGCACGAATGATCGATAATCGTGAATAAACTATCGAGCTTCGTCTTCCATAAATACAGATGAAAGCTTACGAAGTAATCGATTCGACGATAGTTTCCTATTCTGATTGACGAATCTAGATCACGGATGTCAGCTTTAGGAGGAAGACGCGTTCCTGGCGTGGACGAAGGATTTATTTACGTCCGAATAAAAAATTTAATCCCCTCCCCCCCACAGGTGTTCCCAGGTGTCCGTTCTCAGGCAAGTTCGGGATAGATATAACCCGGTCAGAGTAAATACGAATCGGTTTATCGACGATATACTATTTATTTATTTAAAGTATTTGTTACGTGACACACTTCGTGAAGATATAGTTAGAGAAACAGACGTTTGAAAAATGTCACTCAATGACGGAATTTGCAAAAATAAAAATAGCAACCAGCGTATAGATCGACGACCCGTTTTTCCCGAATTTTCTCGCGTGTTTTATAGCTTTTTCCCTCCCCCCAAAGCTGGGGGATTTCGCGTGTTTCATCCGTCGGGTAATCACGCGGAACGAAAGTGTTAAAACGGTAGCGTTTTAGGGAACGTATTTCTCGGAGGAATCGAAGACGGATTAAGAAGCTCCCGGTTCGCGTCTCTCATCGATATTTCAAGACATACGTAGGAATCGAGGCATCGATCTCTGGGCAGTCCCTCGCCTAACTGAATTATACAACGAATTTGCCGTTCCTGTGACTCGCGTCGATCGAATACAAAACCGTTCGAACGTCTGGCTTGAACGTTCTCCATTCCCTTTGAACGTCAATAAGCGGTCAAACGTTAAAAAATAACTGTCGTTTAGC